CAAAATTTAAAAAAAAAAAAGTCCACTTTATTTTTCTTTATAATTTGGAGGATAAATCAATGTCCATGCAGCTGATGATTGGGGGATCGTTCTATTCTCTAAGCCCAAAGTACTCCATTCAGAGGCCTTCAGAAAAAACAACGAGCCTGGAAATTAAGAACCTGCCCTTTCTTGCAAAGAAGAGACAAAAAACCAAGCTCAGAGAAGTACACCCCCTCCAAGCCAGCTAACACCCGTCGGGCAGACAGACACAGGAGACCACAGAAACACCCCAGGAGAGAACCCCACTCTGCAACCAGCTGCAGGCAGACGGGCCCAGCTTCCACGCGGTTATTCTAACAAGAGAAATTTACTGGCAAATCATATTGTTTCTGCTACAGACGTGCAGACATAATCTGCAGAAGCCAGAACAACTTCTCCAACCACAGCTAACTCCAGCCACAGAAGCCCCAGTCACAGAAATCATGGGAAAGCACAGCCCTTCACAAGGAGAGCGACCCTCCTTCCTGCACCTGCTCCTTACCACTGTCCTTGAATTGTAACATTTTCAAAACAGCTTGTCTTTTATCAGAAGCACCTCAACCTAACTAACATTTACAGAACACTCCAGCCTATATAAGTAGAATCCTGACAAGTGTACATGGAACATTTATCAAGACAGTCTATATACTGGGCCATAGAACAAGTTTCAAAAGACTCAGGTCTCAAGTCAACATCATTAACCATTAGGGAATGTAAATCCCCACTGTAGTGAGGTGCATGTGTATCTGAGTGGCCAGAATGTAAGACTGGCCACACCACACACACCAAGTGTTTGGAGGATGAGCATTGGACTTCTCCTACACGCTGCTGCCAACTGGAAAATTCCACAATCACTTTGGGAAACTGTCTGGAAATTCCTAAGAAGGTTAGTCTTATTCCTACCACACAATCACACGAAAGAAGTCATTTCACTTCTAGGTGTTACTCAAGAGAAATGAAAGCAGACGTCCAAAGCGAGACTTGTAGACAAAGGATAACAGAAGCCTGATTTGTAATGGCCAAAAAAATGGAGACAACCCAAATGTCCATCCACACAAGAATGTATAAAATGTGGTATTCCATGGGGGGAAAAAATAAGCAGCAGCAGCCATGGTGACAAGAAGCAAAATGCTCTAGGGCCTCCTATAGCAATTCATAAACTTCACACCGACGTGCGGGTGGGCAGGCGGGGGCAGGAGAGAAGCTGATGGTAGCTCATCCCGAATGTCCACAACGAGGCCTGCAGCTCACCCACCTAAAGGCATCTGACCTTCTTTCTAGGAGCATCTATAAAGCAGCTAAACTACGTGCCGTATATATACAACGGCTTTCCCTGCTGCCGAGAACTCCTCTCAGCTGTCCTGGGCTGCTCTGCCCAAGCACCTGGAGGGACCAGCCAGTGCCCGAGGCATCCAGAGGCCATCTGCCTCTGCACCTGGAGGGGTGATCCTAGATCACCTGTCACGATGAACTGATTAACCGCCCCTGGTTTAAGGGGGAGGGCTTAGAAAATTCTAAAATAAAAGCATCGTGCTGGTCTTAGATGGACAAGGTTATTCCTCATGTATCATGTTCAGGAATCCACTTTTGTCTTTAGACACAGGTGTTGCAGTGTCGCCAGCCGTGTCCTTTGTGGATGGAAGGCGCCCACTCAGAGCCCAGCTGTACCCCGTGACTGGGAGGCTCTTCTTGCTGTGCTTTGGGACAGGGACACCAGAAGCTGCCGTCTCCCTACGTCTGTCATCGCTAGGAGTTTGGAGGCTTGCTGTTTGAAGATCTTGGTGTGGGAGGTGGGGGTCAGGGAGGCTGGGGTCTGGGGCAGGGGCACCTCCAGCCGCTTCAGGGAACGCAGCCGTTCCAACCACCTTATTTCTTTAACAGCTTTATGGACATACAATTCACCAATTTAAAGGGTACAATTCAGCGGTTTTTCGTATATTCACAGAGCCGCTCCAAGTTACTTTAAAGACAATAAAATCTTAAAATGCACATGAGAATACTCGGGAAAATAGTCAAGTGGAAACACTCAAGCTTTATGCAAATGTGCTGAAAAGATGAAACAGAATTTACAGGAGTAACAGAGAACATGTCTGTTCAACTTATGCAACCTCGTTAATCAGGGTGAAGAGGAGGCACTGCTGGACGCAGAGGCCTCTCCACCCCTCCCTGCATCTCAACTCCCAGAAGGGGCACTGTGGGCCCCTCCAAGGGGCTACGAAAGGGTCCCCCTCACGGCTCTTCTCTGGATCAAGGACGATCAGGCCCTGCTCCCGGACATGTGAGGGCAGCGTGCAGTGTGCCCTCCAGCCTGTCACCTCTCTGCACATAACAGAAGTGGAGGCGTCATTCCTTACGGGACACCCCTGGACTCCTAGCCTAACCCAGGCCCCTTAGAATAAGTAAAGGAGGAAAAGAAGAAACCGCACAGTTATCCAGCACAGGTACGCACAGGTATGCAGCTCAGCAGCCGCGGCGCTGCAGGCTGAAACAGGACAGACCACCCCCACTCCCGCCCGCCTGGCTCCATTCGGAAGCCCTTCTTTCTGCTCTTCAGCTTTGGATGGTTTTGGGGGTTCACTGCCTCTACGTCTAACTAATGTGCTCCTGGTGCTATTTCGTGGCTTGTCAAATTTACATGCTGCATTTTGGCCTCCTATGATGAAAAGCAAGAATTCAACACCACCCTCCCACCCCAGTTTAGCTAGGCCTTCTGCAGCATTCACATCATGGAGTACAGAAATATTTTTCACTGGAGAGCACTGCCTTTCTTACATAATTTCTTCCTCTGCTTAGCAATTCCCTTGCTTTCCATGCCTCCACTGTCCACACACCTACTGCTCTATGCAACCTTCCCCAGACCCCCACCCCCCGGCCCCACCCGACTCCTTGTGTTTCCTCATGCCGCTGCTCCTAGCCCGCGTTCCCACCTTCCATGCTGGGAACCCTGTGTCCTCCCCTTTCTTAGTGCCCCTCATCTCACAGAAGCCCCTGCAGCTTCGTGAGGAGGGGGTGCGTGGTGTGCATCCTGAGCATCCTTATCTGAGGCCAGCACTCTCCCCTTACCTGGGCAGGTGCCTGCACCCGGCTGTAGGGTGGAAACCTGTCCCAATGCAGTGGGAAGGCCATCCACCCCACTCCTGCACGTGCTGTGGCCTCTGATATCAACCCCGTCATAATGCTTTGTGTGCGGCCTGTTTTAATCTCCCTTCTCTTTATTGGCAGGATTCGCCATATTTGTTGGGGGTACTTTTTCCTCACAGGAAGAGCCCTTTCACCTGGAGACGCAGTCCTCCTGAAGGTCCCTATGACGGTGTCTCTGGGCCCCTCCCCACAACTGTCGGTCCGGCAGTGCACCTCATTAATCACGCTCTCGTCCTTATCTTTCATCTCCTAGTATCTCCGCCTTTTAAAGAACTTTCTGGGATGTATTCTTGACTTGATCTTCGTTTTTAATTTCTTATTAAAGAAATGCTTTTATTTCATTTTTAATTTCTCAGGGTGTGTTCTAGTTCTCTGAATGTGATGTGTTCTTTAACCTGACAATATAGATCGTTTCATTTTCCAAGTTTTCTTCTGCTCTCTGCACTGACTCTGTTCCCTTCAAGTGCCTTCCACTTTTTCTTTTTTGTTTTTGGTCTCTGCCTTTCTTGCTGGAGGCTTCCCTAAAGTATCTGAGGTCCCTGACCATCCCTCTATACTTAAAAGTGGTCACTAAAAAGTTGACAAGCTGGGCTTGTCGACTGGGGACCTTACTGCAGTTTGCCTTGGGCAGAGACCTGGCTCTGTGTCGTCAGCTGCTCCAGGACTGGACGCTGTGGGGACAGGGTCCTGAGAGGGCTTGTGGATATGATGGGATAGCCGTGTGCGGCAAACATGAAGGCCAGTGCGTGTGTTAACTGTAGCAGATAGCTGGTCACAAAGAAGTAAGCTGTTGTGCTGTGAGGGCCACATGGCTGGACCTGAGGGTGGCCAGTAGGACCCAAGGGCTGTTGCCTGCCAACCACCAGCAAGAAAACAGGGATCCCAGCACTACAACCACAAGGAACTGAATGAGCGTGGTGGAGGACCCTGAGTCCCAGGTGGGAATGCAGCCTGGACAGACACCGGGCAGAGGGCACAGCCAGTGCAAAGGGCAGGAGGAGGCAAATCCGTGGCACACAGGGAGCCTCAAGGAGGCCAGTGGCTGGAGCAGAGGGAGCGAGGGGTTGGCAGCAGAAAGGTGGTCAGTGCCCTGGGAGAGCTCTGAGCACAGGAGTCACAGGATTTACCTTAACACTACTATCTGGCTGCCTGTGAGCCAAGGCTGCAGGGTGGGGCAATGAGGCAGTGCTCCCACAAGCCAAGCAGAGCAACAGGCAAAGCCTGAGAAGTGGTGGGACTCTGGACTATCCTGACGACAAAGCCAGCAGCGTTTCCCAATGGATCATAAAGTCGGGTGAGAGAAAGACGTTTTGGCCCGAGTTGCTAGAAGGGTGGGACTGCTGTTTACTGAGATGGGGACACTGTAGGTGGCACTCAAAGCTTCAGCCATGAGTCTGAGACGGCCATCTGACATCCCAGCATGAGCCCAGCATCCAGGAGTGCGCCAGGCTGGAGAAGTGATGTTGGGGGTCATCAGCACAGAGGCCACATTTACAGTGTTAGCCTGGGAGTGAGTGAGACCGAAGGGGGAGGAGCAGCCCTGGGCCTCCGCCCTGGGTGAGGAACCAGCGAAGTGAGACTCAACAGCCAGTGGTGTTCAGTGCTGCGTGTGGCAGGGCAGGCCAGGCAAGTGACGCACAATCACAAACCAACGTAACCATGACAGCACAGGTGTCTAGAGCATCTGCGGCTTTCCTCACTCTGACCTAGAAATGGGGCTGCCTCGTTGAGCCTTCACTTTCCGAAGGCTTTTAATGCCTACTGCTACTTTACCTTCAGAAAGGCTATGATGGCACGCTTTCAAAAATCTTAGTTGTGATAAAATATACATAAAATTTACCATCTTAACCATTCTTAGGTGCGCAGCTCAGTGGCATTAAATACACTCACACTGCTGTGCACCATCACCCCCAGCACCTCCAGAACTTTCTCATCTTCCCAACTGAAACTGTCCCCACTAAGCACTAACACCCCACACCCTCCCTCCAGCCCCTGGCGACCTCTATCTACTTTCTGTCTCTGAATCTGATGTTCTAGAGACCTCGTAGAAGGGATCATACAGGATTTGTCCTTTTGTGTCTGGCTCATCTCACTGTGCAAAATGTCCTCCAGGTTTGTCCGTGTTGCAGTGTGTGTCAGAATGTCCTTCCTTTTTAAGGCTGAATGGCAGTCGCTGTATGCATACACCACTTTCTGTTTATCCATTTATCTGACCATGGACACTGGTGTTGCTTCCACTTTTTGCTGACTGTAAATAGTGCTGCTATGAACAAGGATGTGCAAATATATAATGGTATAATTTTAGGAAGAAAAAATGTACATGCTGTGTGATTCTAACACAATGACATTTAGCGACCTGGGTAAATATTATCATATTACTTCTCAAGAGGGTCTACGTGTAAAACACTAGTGGTTTTATCCCATTTCCTAGTCTCCCTCCACAGCTACTGAAGCACTTTGAATTTTATGTCCTCTGTTTGAAACTGGTTGTTTTCCTTTCTTGGATCATGGACACTTTCCCCTACTGTATTAGCATCCTGTGGCTGCTATAACAAATTACCACAAACCTAGTAGCCTAAAACTACAGAAACCTATTCTCTTACAGTTCTGGAGGTCAAAGTCCAAAATGAGTCTTTAGGCTGAAATCAAGGAGTTGGCAGGGCTGGTCCCTCCTGGAGGCTCCAGGGGAGAATCTGCCCCCTGGCCGTCTGGCTGCCAGCATTCACTGAGGCTGGACACCCCAAGCCCGACTTCCAATGCCACACAGCCAAGTCCTCTTCTCCTCCCACTTCACTGTTATAAGGACCCTTGTGGTTCCATTGAGGGCCCACCAGGATAACCCCATCTCAAGGCCCTTAATTTAATCACATCCACAAAGTCCCTTTTGCCATGTAAGGTAATGTTCACAGGCTCCAGGGAATAGGACCTGGATATCTTCCAGGGCCACTGTCAACCTACCACACCCAACTTACTTTTTTAAAATAACACTTTATTGAGATACAATTTCCACCCTTACTGTTTTAAGTCAATCCACTCCTCTTGGAAGAAATTCAGCTTACCTGAATGTTGATTTTATTTTACTTTATTAACATTTATTTATTTATTGAAGTAGAGTTGATTTACAATGTTAATTACTGCTGTCCAGCAAAGTGATTCAATTATACATATATATACATTCTTTTTTATATATATTCTTTTCCATTATGATTTATCATAGGATATTGGATATAGTTCTCTGTGCTATAAAGACCGACCTTGTTTATCCATTCTTTATATAAAAGCTTACATCTGCTGACCCCAACCTCCCACTCCATCCCTCCCCCAACCTCTCCCCCTTGGCAACCACCAGTCTGTTCTCTATGTCCGTGATTCTGCTTCTGTTTCACAGGTAGGTTCATCTGCATCATATTTTGGATTCCACATCTAAGTGGTATCAGACAGTATTTGTCTTTCTCTTTCTGGCTTACTTCACTTAAGTATGATAATCTCTAGCTGCATCCATGTTGCTGTACTGAATGCTGATTTTAAACCTTTATTCTCACCCGTTTGGCAGGGGCCCACTGCCATGGTCCATTTTGCTCAATGCTATACCCCAGGGTGAGAGTGGTGCCTGGCCCACGGCAGGTGCTCAGTAAACATTTACTCAGTGAAAGGAGGGCTCTGTCACAGGGACCAGCAGCTGGACGCAACAGTGGGGGGCTGGTCGAGACCCCCTTAATGCGGCCAGATCAAACCATGCCCCAGAAGAACATATGCGTCTCCCAGAGCAGGTGGCTGCCCAGAGTGGACTTTCATGTCCCCCTTTATGGGGACAGACCCCCACCTCCCCACTGGGGAACCAATGTCCTCTTGGACCCTGTGCTCTGCCTCAAGGAAAGGCCTCTCCCTCCTTGGTGGAGCAGGCAGCCCAGAGTCACCATGTAGGGACAGTGCCTAAGAAAGACACCGCCACAGAAGCCCAGACTGCTACTGGTGGCCCCTGGGCCCAGGCTGGCATGGCATGAGTTGCCCCTGAAAACAAGCTCTTCACAGAGTGAATCACGCTGATTAGGATGGACTTTCTCATAAAAGTGTGGTACAACCCTCGCTTTGTTCCTAGGAAGGTCACACAAGCATAGGAAAGAGCTGGGGGCACACATTTCAGGGCCTTCCAGCAGCCACAGCTCCAGAACATGGCAAAGCCTCTGATTTGCACATACTCACTTTTCTAGATAAGAAGAGACACAGTGCCACAGGCCATGTGAAACAACAGATAAAACCCCTACTTTAAGGTACCTAACTGCCCTCGGCCCTAAGGCTGCCCCTGTGTGCTCCAGACGGTTACAACCCAGGGCACTGGGTAAGCAAAGCCCGGGACCCAAAACTCTTTCCCTTGTGCCTTCAGCTCCCTCCTGTGTGTATCTGAAGGCACAGATTTACAAGTGGCACAAGGACTTCATTATGTGATCATTCTGCTTAAACAAAGAGCTCTGAGATGGTCCTCTGCCCCCCGCAGGCTGCCCAGGTGAGCCAAGCCCCCCAGGTGAGCTGTACCAAGGGTGATGTTGGGAAGACGGCCTGCGAGCGTCACTCTTTAAGTCCCCAGAAGAAGACACCCTCTATAAGGAGAGCTGATGCTGCAAAGTCACCACCAGAAACAAGGCAAACCTCAAGTAGCGCCCCGCCCTCGAGTAGCGCCAGTGTTTTGCTTCACTTGGACAACCGACTTATGACGTGGGCCAGAGAGGCCAAGGCAATCGGCAGGGGAAAGAAGAGATGACAAGACGCAAAAGACCATCCTCCCATGCAGGTCCCAGAAGACCCAGGAAGACCAACACCCCCACCCCAGAACCATCAGGACATACCTCCTCCACTCCCCACACGGCACTCAGCACAGTCTCTCCCCCACCCCACCCCATCCTGCTCGCTGGGGTTTCGACCTGCACCTGGCCCAGGGTGGCACACGGCTGGGAACAAATGCGCGAGTGCCCAGAAGACAGGCTCTCTCCCTCAGCCCTTCGGGTCTTCTGGCAGAACCGTTTCCCCACAGGAAACCCAGTACAGGAGCCAACAGTTACCTGGTTCAGCCACCTGACTGGGGAAAACGCCCTTCAGATGTCACTCCCCAGCACCAGACCAGGTCAGAAACAGCCACACCCATGTAGTCTGTGGTTGGGTTTCAGTAGTTTTGTTTTGTTTTGAGATTTGTTTAAACCTAAAAGTGACAGTTCCTAGATTGTGACAGTACCTAGGACAAATCTTGAGAGGACTAAAAAAAAAAACTCCAGAAGCTCTAAAATGTGAAGTGTTAAACCTTGGAGCTAAATAAAGCTAACTGTAGAACGGGCCTAATGTCTATGATCATCACAATTTTTTAAAAATTATCAAGGGATCATGCAACAGTGGAGAAAACTTCTAAGTCAGCACAAAATGAAAATTCTTCAGGCTCTCATTCTGTCCACTATCAGCCTGTTTTCTCTGCCTTCATCTTCTGCACTTTGCTCTTTAAAAGTAGAATGCTAAACCAAAACAAAGACAGTATTTATTCCTTAATGATATAGACTGATGGCATCCATCTGAAACATGTAAGAAGGGATAATAGCACAAAAGAAAGGAACTCTACAGAAACTCATAACATTTTTACAACTCCACAGGATTTTAGAGGCTGCTTGAGCTGACCCCCACATCACAGGTTAAGAAATGGAGGCCAGTCAGCACTCACTGTGACACAAAAGATACACACACAAAAATACTGTTCACTAACACTTTTAGAGAAACATCAGGTCAAACACACTCATAAGAAAAATGCAAGTTAAAACTACACTGATATACCATTGTCCCTGTATCAGACTGGCAATACTTTTCTAGAGGACAATTTGGTGTTAAAAACATTTAAAAAATCATTTAAGATCTACACATGTTTCCCCAGCAATTACATTCTTTTTTTTTTCGGTACACGGGCCTCTCACTGCTGTGGCCTCTCCCGTTGCGGAGCACAGGCTCCGGACGCGCAGGCTCAGGGGCCATGGCTCACGGGCCCAGCCGCTGCGCGGCATGTGGGATCTTCCCGGACCGGGGCACGAACCCGTGTCCCCTGCATCGGCAGGCTGACTCTCAACCACTGCGCCACCAGGGAAGCCTCATCCTTAAGACTTTAACCTAAAGACATAATAAAGATTGTGCAGGAAGATTCAGCTAGGAAAAAGCTTATAACAGCAGAAAAATGAAAACCTAAAATACCAAAGACAGAGGATTAACTGAATAAATTCTAGCACATTCATTCACATGATGGAAAAGTAGGCATTAAAATCATGTTGTAGGAGTAAATCTACCAACATTGAGAGATGATGATAATATACTGATTTAAAGTAAATTAAAACTGTAAGTTAACTGTGACTCTAGTTTTATTTATCTCTCTTATATAAATAATGATTTAAAGCCTAGAAGGTTGAAATGATTCACAGTGCCAGATGGGATTTTTGTTTTCTCCTTTATTTGCATGTTTTTATGTAAATGTACATTACCTTGTTATTGCTTTAAAGGCAATACCAACCTGAGAACAGGTTCTTGATTCACATGTTACAAATGCTAAGATTCCTCCTACGAGAAAGTTCTTAGTGTAAAAGAGAAAGCCAAATGTTCCTCTAAATGCGGATTAAGCCCCACTAACCAGTACTTCTCGCAAAAGGCATCATAAGGCAGGCTCCTTGAAGGCAGTTTTTAAAAATAAAATCACCAAGAGGAAAATATCTGGCAACTTTGTGGCTTTTCTCTCCTCACCAGCCAGAGTGAATTGAATCACGCTGATAAGGATGGACTTTCTCATAAAAGGGCTTTCTGTTTCCCACAGCAAAAAAGTCAGCCTTGTTTTTCCTGGATTTTAGTAGAGTAAACCAACCCACCCAAAGCTGGAATGAAACACAACTGTAAACAAGTGGAAAAAGGAGAAGGGTGGGTGGAGGAGGGGAGGAGAGGGAGGCACCTGCCCCCGCAGCGTCTCTCCTGACTCTTGGGAGAACCACACTCGACAAGGGAGACTGTCCTGAGGTCCCCTCTGTGGTCAAAGAGCCACTTGATAAGCAGCCAGCGGAGCCAGAGCTCCTGCCCAGAGGGTCACTCACAGGCGCTGCCCGTGAACCCCACGCACACACGGGAAGCACAGCTCTGTGCTTTCCCACAGCTCAGCACACAGGGCCACTCCGACAGCACAGAAAACAATTTATCTCCTCCCGACTCCCTTGGAGTGCTGCTCCCAGGAAAGCACCACCACCTGGACCGTGGACAGCTGAGCAGGAGAGCCAGCTCCTGCACACAGCCCTGTCCAGCCTCTGCTCCTCTGCAAACAGCAGCAGCCTTCACGAGGAGTACCCAAGGCTCCAGAAGGAAAGGAAAAAGTGCTTTAATTCAAAGTATGTGCGGCCCCGGCCCCCCATTCTCTCCCCAAGTACCCCTCACACTGACTGGGCCTGGGCGAGGCAGAGGGGCAGGACCCAGGAGGGAACCTCTATGGTGACCGCCACAAAGGAAGCCTGTGTCCAGGCCCAAGCACTGACTTTCAAGCCTGACCAAAAAACATACTTGTTTACTGATGACTTAAAAAGGCCACAAAGGCCCCACTAATACACCCAGCTAGTGAGGCCCCAGTCACCCGTCACCACAGTGCTGGGACTTTCTCCCCAGGAGGCAGCGCCCCAAAGTGGAAAGTAATGGGACTTTGGGTCTGACAGCTCCAGGTTCAGATGCAGCCTCTCTCAGCAACTGTGTCTTCTCAGAGCGGCTCCTCAACGAGCTCCTGGTCTCACCCTCGACACACCTGCTAGGGCAGGACAAGGGTTTTCCCTCACAGCCAAGCTCTCCACCTCTGTTCCTGGTCCCACCCCAGAGAGCAGGATGGAAAGTGCCCACGGCACAGCAGGGCCCTTGGGTCACTGTGTGCAGCCAGGGTCCAGATGCATGGCTCTGGGGCAGAAGTCTCCCAGTGATGCAGCAGCACCTCCTGGGCACTCGTTAGGGATGCAGACTCTCAGCCCCCACCCGGGAACTGCTGAAAAGGGGACCTGCTGGTGAGACCTGGCACTGTGGTCTAACAAGCCATCCAGGCCACCCGATGCCACTGCAGGTTGAGACCCTCTGAGCAGAGGGAGGAGCAGAGGCCTGGCCCCAGGAGGACTTCATGGGACCAGACAGGACGGGACTGAAGGAGCCAAAGACCTTGTTTATTAATATGTAACTCCAGGGGATTCCCTGGTGGCACAATGGTTAAGAATCTGCCTGCCAATGCAGGAGACACGTGTTCAAGCCCTGGTCCGGGAAGATCCCACATGCCGCGGAGCAACTAAGCCCATACGCCACAACTACTGAGCCTCCGCTCTAGAGCCTTTGAGCCACGGCTACTGAAGCCCGCACACCTAAAGCCCATGCTCCGCAACAAGAGAAACCACCGCAATGAGAAGCCGGCACACCACAATGAAGAGTAGCCCCCGCTCGCCGCAACTAGAGAAAGCCCGCACACAGCAACGAAGACCCAACGCAGCCAAAAATAAATAAATAATTTAAAAAAAAAATGTAACTCCAACCACCATCCCCAGACTCCCCAAGACACCCACAAGCGGGAATATTAACCCCACCTCCAAAAAACAGTGCCAGGTAGGGACCCTCCTATTTCATAGGTTGTGAATCTGAACCTGGATTCCTCCTTCCTTAAACACACAATCAAAGGGCAGACTGTGTTATTACATCACAGGAAGAGGGCCCGGCTCAGGACAGGAGAGAGCAGGGCAGGACGAAGTGCTCCAGCCCATGCATGGCGCCACCAACTGGGCACGTCCCAGCTCGCAGGAGAGTTTGTGTACAAAATCTCTTTGTAGTAGAAACTACAGAGTATCAGACAAGGGATTATTTTATTACCATCACAGGAAATTTCAAATCCATATTTAATTTTTGTGACTTGTCTATCTGTGGGTGTTTAAATAAATAAGCAGCATTTTCTCGGGGAGGGGGTGGATGTGGAGACGGGACACGCTCCACTGTCAACAGCAACTGGGAGAGATTTCATGTCCTAGGATGCACACTTCTGGAACATTTTTTGCAGTAATGGAAAAATATGACTTCAGTCATCAGGAACATCAAAGGCTGAAGGAACACGGACCCAAGCTGATCTTCTCAGGTCTCAAGAGGCTGGATGAGGAAGAAGGTGGGCGGGCATGGACAGAGCTCGCCTCCCCAGCTGTGCCTCCCAGACTCAGCACACAGCATCTTCAGAAGTGAGTCTGTCTTTCCTCAAGGGATAGAAGGGTCTCACTGTGTCTCTTGAGCAGCTTGGTGAGGAAGATGCATCTCCAGCTTTCTGAGATACCAGAGGCAGGACGCTGGGGCAACGCAAGGGGCTCTCTTCCAGCAAGAGGGCATCCTTCAGGAAGTTAGAGTGCCAGCCAGGCCACGGAGCGCCCACCATCACCTGTCCTCAGGGGAGAGGGGAAGGAGGGGGAGAAAGGAGCCGCCTGGTCCACCTCTCCCTGCACTTCTGGCTTCCACAGAAACCAGTTTCATCCCCAACATGGTATCCCAAGTCTTTTGAGCCACTTAGTAAGTTTTCAATACAAAGAAAAGGAACACAGCAAGGTAAGGTCCAGAAATATTTTAAGCAGTTCCCAAGTTTTGAAACTATTTACAAGCTCACCACATGTAACATTAATAATACAACATAATAACACAACACATAACCAGGTAAATGTAACATGGTTTTGGAGCATGATTATACTTAGGAAGTGAAAAGGTTAACACTGAATATGCTACTTATACATACAAAATTGGAAACAGGAGATTCTTAGGAGGCAGAATAAATGTTTTTCACAAAACAGAAATTAATTAAAAATCAACCAAAGGAAAAAATAGGGTCTGATCTGTTGAAGGGTCCCAAATAATCAGACACGGCAAAAACAAACACACAGAAACCACAGACAAGAAACAAAGCCTCCCTTTAAAAGAAAAGTATTTACTCTTCCTACCCAATTTCAAACAGCCCCCAAACCATTAATTCCTAGAAGGCAGGAAATGTGTTCCTAATTTCTTTTGGCAACTCCCCCTAAAAGGCCAGCACTAGCTTCCTGCACACCTTTTAGGTAACCACACACCACCCCAGGGCCCTTGAGCCACAAGCCATAAATATACATGCAGCTTTTTAAAGTTCCTCTAGGGCGTCCCAAAGGGAATTAAAATCTAGAGAACACGGCTCTGCACACAGTGAACCCTCAATCACTCAGAGTACCCCCCACCCCGGGTCAGCACCACACCTGCCCTATTCATTGCTCACAAGCACCTGTGAACCAGGCACTGCCAGGACCCTCACTTGGACAGAGGCCTGGAGCAGGTGAGTATCTTGCCAGGGCCCCCAGCCTTTGGCCCTCACACCCCTTCCTCAGCCCCCTCTGCGTTCTCCATCCCCCGGGGGCCTCAACATTCGTGTTTTCCGGAGGCTTCACTGGTGACTCCAGCTGGACGCCATCGGCCACGGCTGGTCGCCCATAGCACTCCCCCTTGTCCTTGCTGACAGACCCCCATCCTGTCCGGGTCTTCCTTCCTTCAGCCATGTGTGTCTGCAAATACCTGGGAGGCCCACCAGGCACATTCATGGTGGGCAGGTGGGAATGGAGACAGAGATGACAAATAGCAGCATAAGTAAAACATGGACTTTGCTAGATGCTTTAAGTGCTAAGGGGAAAAGCAAAGTGGGGAAAGGGGAACAGAGAATGCTAGAGGCAAGGAATGGCCCAGCAGGCAAGGCTGCCTGGAACCAGGCCAGCAGAGTGGTCCTGACTGGTCAACCAGTGGTTCTCACACACCTCACCCTGCAGAGTGAATGCTGTGTCCCTAACAAGCCTCTGGGCCCTGCTGCCAGTCCAGTGACCCTACTTGCAGGGACCAGCCCGGGGAGTGCCTACAAGCAAACTGGCTAACAAAGCGGAGCGGGGTCAGTAGGCCTTGGGAAGACTGGGGGAGAGTTCCTCAGACAGGAACAGAGGGACCTGGCTGCTGCAGCCCAGACGGGCAGGATCTCAGGACGCTGTCAAGGGTCACCCGCCGGAGGCTTGTCCCGTGTGAGGACGCACTTTCTTCATTCTCGGAGCCTGGCTGTGTTACGTGCTGCTGAGTCCTTCTAC